ATAGATAGATAGATAGATAGATAGATAGATAGATAGATAGATAGATAGATAGATAGATACTATATAGTCTAGTGAAAAGAAGGACCAGGGGAGACAGGAGAGCAGTCTTCCAATATTTGATGGGCTGCCACAGAGAGGAGGGGGGTCAAGCTGTTTTCCCAAGCACCTGAAGGACAGACAAGGAATAATGGATGGAAACTGAAAAAGGAGAGATTCAACCTGGAAATAAGGAGGAACTTTCTGACAGAACAATCAATCAATGGAACAAAAGTTGCCTTCGGAAGTTGTGGGAATTTCATCACTTGAGACTTTCAAGAAGAGATTGGACTGCCATTTGTCAGAAATGGCAGGTTGGGCCAGATGACCTATAAGGTCCCTTCCAACTCTGTTAATCTGTGCTTATACCTTACAAATTACTTTAACACAGAAAATCTTCCTTCAGCCAAGAGCTGCCAAATTCCCCATTCAGGAAATATTTTGCTAAGCATCGTTAACCGACCTCTCTGGTTGGTTTCTAAGAGAACTGACCATCTGGGACGGATCAGTCCCTTGCTGGGGAAAAAAAAATCCCCGTGAAATCAGCCAGCGTCTGACCATGGATTCACTCTAGAGAGAAGGACTGAAAATGGAGTTCAAAAGTTAATCGCTCCTGTCCGCCTTGTGCCTCCTTCAGGAAGACTCGACAAGCAGCCGGCAGGATTCGTTAAGCTGGTTTATCACCCCTTGCAAATCAATTACTTCCTTCAAGGTTTTGAAGGCTGAGGGAGGGGGAGGGAGAGGGAGGAGATGGTATTTTCAATCCAGCAGAGAAGAGAAAGAAGAGCGAATGCAGACAGAGTACACCAGATGGGGCTCTCACAGTAAGTTCTGCATTCTCTCCCCCCCCCCCCGTCTTTTAACCAAATGGATGTAATTTTTAACCAAATGGATGCGATTTGTTTATGGAAGGAGCCTGGGAGTAACTTACCTCTTCTGCTGCAAAGCTTCATCGAGGGATTCCTGCTTCTCTTGCAGCAGCCGCTGGAGGTGTTTCATTTCTCGCTGGTACTGAGTGGTCCTCCCCGCAAATTCCTTCTCTTGCTCTGTCATTTTGAGGTTGATGTCCCCGAGCTTGCCTGCCGCCGTCTTTTTATACACCTGTGAGAGTTGGAACAGAACCCAGTTCAAAGCACACGACTCTCGGGCTGCTGCAGGGGCAGAAGATGGATCGTAACCAAAGGGGGAAGATGGTTCTTTCTCTCGGTTGCTTCGTCCTGAGTCATGGGATGCCCGGTTCGGAGAACAAATCGGGTAGGTGGGAATCAAAGAAAGGCAATCGGGTCATCTTTCTTCGAGCATGTTTACCAATGCACAGCTTGCCAATGAAGACGACAAAGATGTCACTGCCTTGGCAAGACGGTGTTTCATCCTAGGGTTTTTCCTCCTCCTAGAAAGGCAGTTCTCAAATAGCTTCAAAGCCAAATGTTGGTTTGACTAGACACGATGAACAGCTAGACTTTAAACACACCTGCTTCTCTACAAGGTCAACAGCCAAGTTTTAATCATCACTCTCCAGGTAATGATGAAAGAGACGTGACCCTACCTGATGGGTTATTTGTCCTTTAATCTGAGCACAAGGAGGGGGAAAAAGAAACAATCTTAGCTTTGCAAATTGATGCTTCTGTTACCCTGATGATTATGTATTTGTTTTCTTTCTAGAATACCGGAAAGTAACTCCCTTTTCCTTTCTCTCGCACTTCATATGCCTTCTTTGAAAAAGCCTGATGTGCAAATGGCGCTTTTAAAGCTATTTTGGGACAAATGTGGCATTAGGCTCTGAATAATCAAAATTAATCAGAGTGCCTCGTTAGACAAGCGCTGCTGTCATCAGGTCTGAAAGGAAAGAGATGTTTCTTAGAACAAATATTTTCCTGCCAACAAACGCAGACTGATCGGGTTAACAGCTACTCTGATGGTGAAGGCTCTAACCCTGCTTCAAGTCTATAGTTGGAGAGCCAGCTCTTTGCAGTGATTTCCATGAATAAAAAAAAAAATGGAAGCAACATTGAATTATGCAGCCTGTAAAATTTCACATAGGAGTGGGTACATAAATACTGAAGCAGATTTCAACCGCATTTGGATGTGTTGCCCATTTCACCTCTCGACTCTTGAAACTTTCACAGGAATCTAGCCCTCAGAATATGAAGATCTTGCTTATTATAAAGAATGTGAGTGTATTTGTCATTTAGAGTTTGGGGGACGTTTGAATTTCATGGGGATACGGTCGTATATAACACATTTAATTCCAGACATTCCTTGGTTCCCATGCACAAAACAAGTTAGCCAGGACAGGACCAGATGGAATAGTTTGATTCGGTACATTGTCTATGCTTGAACCTGATGCCAGTAAGCATTTGAAAATGTGATTAGATTGTACTGGCCCAGCTACTTTGAGTCAGCCCATAGATCCAGCCTTAGAAGCTTTTCTATTTTTTAATTTTATTCTGTAGCTGGTTATGATATATGATTGTTTTACTTTTGTTGTTTAATCGGGATAAAAACTTAGCTTCTATGAAACTTTAGTCAGACTGGAGTCTAGATCACACTTGATTCTATACGGAAGGCTCGTAGGATAGTAAAACAGCCGATCCAGGAATAGCTTGACGCATTGAGGTGCACTTGCTCAAATGGACATCCCAAATGCTCGTGGTGTCTATGAGGACTTTTTAGCAGTTTAAAGAGGTAAATGAGGAAGCTTCCTTTTCTTTTCTTTTTTCTTTCACTGGATATTAATCCATTAAAAATAATACTTATTCTGTAAGCATTATTTTAAATGCATGTAGGACGTCAACCCTTTTATTGAATGCAGATACTATACAATGTCATCCGAATAATCGGGAAAGGAGGAGAAGACAATGTACTGTTCTCATGAACGTTTCCGAGTTACAAGATAAGATACATTTGCCATCTGTAAGGTTCATCAGCTCATCTTGTGCTCATCTCTTTCTCTCACTTCATGTAAGGATACATCTGAGGAAGCCCCACAGTGGTTTAAGCATTTTTTTTTGGGGGGGGGGATTTCACAGAATATTATTCTAGTTCAGCATTTTCAACCTTGAGGACTTTAAGCTGTGTGTACTTCAAGTACCAGAACTGAAGCTAGTCTTCAATTCCCATTTCAGTCCTATCTGAAATCCTGGAAAACTACTGCCATTACAATAAACTAAATAATACAACTGGGAAAGGACTAATATCATGGCAGCAATAAGATACTGTAGCTTTCCATGTGCCCAAATATTTTGGCTTCGGAAACAACAGGGAGCAAGATTACTTTTGCATCAACTTTTGAGTTAATCAATTACAATTGTGCTTTGAAAGAAATGCCACTAGAAGATAATCTGAGCAAAAGTTGTAAATATTATTCAAGAAGTCAAGAAAAGGTTGAATATGTTCCATAACTGGTTGTTGGAAAAACAACTTCCAGGAGATTGTAAGACGCATGAGATTAAAAAAAAAACATTGTAAAATTAAATGAAATTAAATGTAAGGCATTCGTAATGAGAAATGTGAACGGGTTTAATGAATTTTAACCTATCCCTTTTTTCCAGTAAACAAATAAATGCAACGACAGAAATATTACACTCTTACAGAAAAGGCCTGATTAAAAAAAAAGTAGGGAAAACTCATTGCTCTTCTTCTTTTTTTTTTTGACAGTGTGCCTAACGGGAAGATGAATTATCCGCAAACCGACAGGGAAGAGAAAGTGCTGAACGAGGAGCTGGAGTGCAAAATCTGCTACCAGAAATTCAACCTCCAGAGTCGCAAGCCCAAACTCCTGGACTGCCTCCACCGAGTGTGTGCAAAATGCCTGACTAAAATCCTTCAGGTGGGCAGCGGCTCGCTTCACATCAGCTGCCCTTTCTGCCGGCATGAAACGGAGCTGTCGGAAGAAGAGATAGAAGGGCTCCCGGATGACTTGAATATCTTGTCCAGGCTGGTAACCAAAGACAAGTCGACATGGAATTCAGAGTGCAAGGAAGTTCTCCTGACCCCAAAGACCTTGGCTTCATCAAGTCCTTCGCGGGGCTCCTCAAACTGCCTGGTGATCACCATCATGGAAGTACAGAGGGATTCCCCCCGGACTCCCAGCCAAAACACCCTCTCGGATTATTACACCGATCACAGCCTGGACTCAGAATCTGTCAACTCCACCAACCAGTTAGACCAGGACGTTTTCTCCAAGCTCTGTAACCACGTCCCCAGGATACTAGTCTGGCTCCTTGGCTTTTTTTATTTCGGTTCTTTGCCCCTTGGTATCTATTTATTAGTGATTCAGAAAGTCACTCTGGGAATTGTCTGTGTCAGTCTTGTTCCATCTAGTCTCACGGTGTGTCTTGTGTACGGCTTCTGTCAGTGCCTCTGCCAGGGAATGTGCGACTGTTCTTCTAGGAATTGATGCCAAACACAGGAGGATATTGAGACAGTGCAAAGTCTGCACGATTTTTTTTTTTAATGTGATTGTAAGTAAAAAAATTTTAAAAAGGACATCGGTCTATGAACTGGTGTTTTCAGCATTCCATTCTTCTGACTACAGTAATGAATAAAGATGATCTTTCTAGAAAAGATATAAATCTTTCTGTGGGAGAAGTCTGACATCTTGAAAATGCAATATTGTCTTATTGGATTGAAGCTGCTCAAAGCACTGGCTGACGAGGAGGAGAAATTGAATTGATGTCTCTGAATGCATCCTTTTAATATATTTTGAAGGCTGCCTCTTACTCAATCACAAGTTGGACCAGAAGCTAGTGAGAAGAATGTTTTTCCCTGAGAAAGCAGCCTGAAGTTATTTTCCTTACTCCCCAGANTTCTCTGGGTGGAAAGAGAAAATATCTGCTGTCAGATACGCATAGGCATCAGGAAGGGAATCCAGCCAGTAAATGCTCAACTCCATTCAGTCACCCAGTTCAAGAGATTATAGGCTCGTGTGTGTGTGTGTGTGTGAGAGTGTTATTTAAGAGTAGTCCCTCTTAAACAGCAGATTAGGTGATAAATCTTGGACTATAGCTCTCCTAAAGTGAAAGAAAACAGTCTGATATTTTCCTTGACCACTTAGTTTTTATGTATGAGAAACATGTATTTTATTTTCTATCGTATTGTATATTTGAACACTTGTCAGCACTGACTTGCAAAAATAATTGCACAGACTTTAAAATACAGAGCTGTTAACTTGCCTCATGCTCTAGAATCAACTCTTCCTTTTCTTTCATTCGGTCTTCATATGCCAACAGGAGAGGGGATAAATATTTCATGTCAAGCTGAACGAAATAAAGAAGGAAACTTCAATCCACTAAAACATACAGTAGCATTAGACTTTAAACATTTTTAGTGAAGGTTATCTAATCAGATAACAATATTTTAATGTTTTATTTTAAGATGTCAATAGGGTAATTAATTATCTACAATTTGGAAACAGATAACAGTGAACCTATCAGGTGCTATAAAATGAAAATGGTTAACTTGTTACTTACCAGCCATGGGGGTATTGGCTTTGTCATTGGCAGGCTTCCAATCTTTACACCCTAAGGTAGTAAAAATATAAGATAGATTTGCACCAACAACTTCACGTACCTATGTATTAAGGAAGTCTAGTTTTAAAAAAAAGATCACAACCAGACTAATATAACCAAAACTTTTGACACCTGAATTAATTTCCTATTAAAATTAATTGAAAGTGGAAAGGAACAAAAACTATAATGAATAATCTTTATTAAGCAAAGATGCAACCATAAAGAGTGTATATGCTTTGTAAATGATTTAGTAGAAATAACTGAGTGGTTAAGCAAGTATAGTTATCTCCCCTGTTGGTTAAAGCAGAGAACCCATTTTCAGACTTTTGTCTGAAAAAAAGATACCACTACTTTAAAGAGTCAAGACATAATGAGGATGAGCAATAAACAGGATACACAGGAACTTCTATCCTCATTACACTCTGGTTTGATCACCAACATTGGATGCTGAGAACCAGAATCTCAGTGTGACAGCAGTGAACTCTGGGATTGTAATGGTACATGACCTTGGGAGACAGGTCAAAGAGATACAGCCACTTAACCACTTGCCCAATTCAGGCAAGGCAAGAAGCTCAGGTGCCTTTTATCTGACATCACCTTGGCCATGTCTCTGCCTAATTGTATCCCAAGGTCATTCCCACATACCATTACAGGAATGCTCTCTGTCCAGAAATTCATGAAATGCTACAAAATTATAGTATATAATTGGCACTATAACTAAACTTTGAGGCACCTGCTAAAGATAGAATTCTTTATTGGTCAAGAGTGATTGGACATACAAGGAATTTGTCTTTGGTACATAAGCTCTGTGCACATAAAACTATAGGAGATAAATCATGATCAGAGTCATCATAAAAATACATTCATCATAAATCATAACCTACAACACTAAGTGATAGTCATAGGATGCTAAATAAGCAATCAACATAAATCATACTAGAAAACTAAATAAAACAATGTAAATCGTAAAGATACAAGCAACAAAGTTATAGTCATAAGTAGAAAAGGAGATAGATAATAAGAAAGACAAGAAGAAGAATAGCAATACAGCCTTACTATATAGTTTGACTGTGTTTTGGGAATTAGTTATTTAGCAGAGTGATGACACAGGGGCAAAAACTGTCCTTGTGTCTAGTTTTTCTGGGGTCCAATGTTGTTTTGAGATTTATCATTTCTCTGTATTAATGTTGCATTAAAAACAGGTGTTTGGTTACATTTTTCTTCTCTTCTCTATTTTAATAACTGTTAAATTTATACATTTTTAGTTTTATCATGTGGGTGATGGAAGGTGGGTGATGGAAGCTCTGTTGTAAACGGCTGCAAAATTACAATAATGGGAAAAGGTATTATTAAAAATAACAGCAACTAACAATAACAACAACATGGAGGAAAACGTTGAAACATTGGAAAGGAGGGTATATGATACGCAACCTAGAACATTGCAGTAAAGGATAAGAGTGCTAAAGATTAGCTAAATGTCTTTTTTAAACTAAAACCAATAAACTGGGAATGCTTGAACACTAAAGATACTATATTATAAACCATCTTGAAAGAGAACATTACCTCATTGGGTGAAATTGGTCTGTACTTTGTTTGATAACGACTCAGTTCTGCATTTAAGCGATGAACAGTCATTTTCAAACTATGATTTTCATCTACTAGTTCCTGGGCTTGTTGTCTTAACAGCAGCAATTCCGTGCCTTCCTCTGGATTAATACAAAAAGAAAAGAAAAAAGAAAAAGCAGATTACATTTTATAATGATGTGCATATTGCTAAAACATCTCCAAAATCTAACTGAAGCTGAATGCTGTATAATAAAATGGAACTTTGCTTTAAAGGTATGGTGATTCCGTAAAACTATTTAAAATTCACCTGTACAACTAGGAATCCCCAAACAAAAGGCAATTCAGCAGCTACAGTATATATGGCAATTTAATATGCCTAGTTTGCTTCTAGTCTGAGATTGTATAAACAAGAAGATTCATGGGCATTCAGTCGGGAATAAATCATGAAGGCTACAAATTGTGCAGACTATAAAATATAATGCAAATCCAAAGGACCGAATGACAAAATCTATGGATGTAACTTGGGACCACAGGTAACAGTAGCTATTTTATATGAAGAAAAAACTAGGTATATCCAATTAAAGGATCAGGCAGAAGATGATGAAAAAAATAATCTCTGCATAAGACCCTTAGAAACCCACACCTAGGCCCAGAATCAAACCTGCCTGGATGTATATTTTGGAAATTATGTTTAAAAAATAGCCTAAACCTAGTGAGAATAAAGGGCAGTGTGTTCCATTACAACTGACATGTGATGATGATGTCCTCATTTTGGGGAGGATGAAGCCATCAAAGGCAACCTGCTCAAACGTCCTTGATATTTTATGACATGCTTCAAAGAATCCTATCCTGAGGGGGGAAACTGGAATGACAAGTTAGATCAGTGTACTTCAATTGCCAGCCTCAAGATCCTGAGGTAAGTGCATAAAAGCACTTTCAAGTGGATCTACAAAAACAAAAACAACTCCCCCCCCCAAACCCTGGACCCAGCAGAGGAACCCAAGTAACATGGGAATTTTTTCCCAAGCAATCTAATTGACCCGCTCATTCAGAAATGCGTTTATTAGAACATAAATTCTGGAAGGGGAGAAAGTCATACGATAATAACTCAGTTTTTTTAAGGTACTGATGATTTCTAACGCACTTTCTAAAATATGATACAAAAAATTACCATTTGTTTCCGTCATCTTCTCAATAAATTCCAGTTAAATACATTCTAATTTACCATTTTCCCAATATCTTTCCTAAGCTTGCCAGATATATTAAATAATAGCAATATCACTAGCACTTAGACTTATATACCACTTCACAGTGCTTTACAGCCCTCTCTAAGTGGTTTACAGAGTCAGCATATTGCCCCCAACAATTTGGGTCCTCATTTTATTGACCTTGGAAGGATGGAAGGCTGAGTCAACCTTGAGCCGGNAAGTCTCCCCAGCCCTTTCCAGTCTGGTTGCACGTGCCCCCGATGGAGAACGGGGAGCCGAGGTAAAGCTGCCTCCCAATTCCTCGAACTCCCAAGCTCTCCCTTTACCGTAGTTAATCTGTGTAAAATATTTTCCGTATACCCCGCCCACTTTTATACCCCGCGGGGGTGGGGTGGGGGTGCCGTCCATGTAAAAAATGCATATAACCCGCGTGTTATATGGGTGAAAATACGGTATATTCCACAAATATTTAAAAGGATGCTCTTACCTTGACTTTCTCTTCTAATTTCCCTAGATGTACATTTCCTTCTATTATTTGGTTGAGAATGCCGTGGTTCTCTTTCTCCAAACAACTGGCCTAGGGAAATCGGAAAAGCCATTTGTGAGTTCTCAAAAGATTTTCCTCTTTAGGGGGGAAAGTTTATTCTACTAAATTTTAAGTTCCCAGGTCAGTTCAGAGCCTACGGAAAAGAACCTACTTGAAATCACAATCCTTTACCCAGTGTTATCTAGCTGACAAAAGCTCCCTAGGATATTATCCAGAGGTCCTTCATAAAACCAGCTTCTTGAGATCATTTTAGTCAATATATATTTCTTTATTTATATCCTGACTTTTGTCAGACTTCCGAAAGATGCCCTAATTGATTCATGAATCTTGAGCCAAGTTTCAAAAGCAAACTAGTCATTTATTTGGCAAGATCTTTTTGTAGTCAGATTTGAGCTTGGTTTGAACTATAGCTGAACTTTGCCCGTTCCTTCTCTCCTGGCAGTCTGTGTCATAAATCACATTCCCCAATGAGGTGCACCCCTCCCAAGCCTGCTGCAATAATCTAAGACCCAACTCTATCCGAAAGTATCCATGGAATGTGCTCCCCCACTTTCCTCACCATGGCAATTTTAGAAGTTGACACCTTTATTATTTTTTACAAATAGCTCAAGGTGGTGAACACAAAGCTTCCTCTTCCTATTTTCCCTGCAACAACCCTGAGAGGTGAGTTGGGCTGAGAAAGAGAGTGACTGGCCCAAAGTTACACAGGGTTTTGCTCCTTAAATAAATTAAATGTATCTTTGATTCATTTGATTAAAGGTGAAGTTTCCCCTCGCACATATGTGCTACTCGTTCCCGACTCTAGGGGACGGTGCTCATATCCGTTTCAAAGCCGAAGAACCAGCACTGTCCAAAGACGTCTCCATGATCATGTGGCTAGCATGACTAAGCGCTGAAGGCACACAGAATGTTGTTACCTTCCCACCAAAGTGGTTCCTATTTTTCTACTTGCATTTTACATGCTTTCAAACTGCTGGGTTGGCAGAAGCTGGGATAAGTAACAGGAGCTCACTCCATTATGCAGCACTGGAGACTTGAACTGCTGACCTGACGACCTTTCTGATCAACAAACTCAGTGTCTTAGTCACTGAGCCACCCCGTCCCTCATTTGATTACCAGGTTTAAAAGCTGATCACGTTCTTGAGTTATATTTTCTGCCAAGCTGATCATATTCACTAGATACTGGTGGGCAGCCATCTCCTTTTCCATTGTTTCTTCCAAGTGCTGCTTCAGAAGACCGATCTTCTTCTCCGACCGCCTGGGTGGTTTTGACAAAAAGCAAAAAATCTCTTAGGGAGCAATTCCATTTTATTTTAATTCAATATCAGGACTCGAGACTCACAAAGAAATTGCAGGAAATTATACTTGGGTTAGCACCTCAACAAAAAGATTCAAAGAATAGGCTATCAAATGTCCACTGAAACAGAATACTTTTATTTTTACAGGATTTAATATAACTAAAGTCATTGTGTAGGTTTTTATAAACGAATTACCAGAAACAAATTACCGGTATCTAACCGGTTGAAATAATAGTACCTTTATCATTATTTGGTATTAATAAAAGTACCAGTAGTAGGCTTTGGGAAAAGACTGTAAGGAAAATGCCAGACCTACTCCACTTATGATCACAATTGAGCCCAAAATTATGTTGCTAAGTGAGACAGTTAAGTGAGTTTGTCCCCATTTTACGACCTTTCTTGCCATAGCTGTTAGGCGAATCATCACAGTTGTTAAGTTAGTAACACAACTGTAAATTGAATCTGTCTCCCCATTGTCAGAAGGTCTCGAAAAGTGACCGCGGGACACTGCAGCTGTCATAAATAAGAGTCAGTTGCCCAGCATCCGAATTTGGATCATATGACTTTGGAGGTGCTGCAGCAGTTATAAGTGTGAAAAAACGATAGTAAGCCCCATTTTTCAGTGTCGCCGTAGCTTCAAATGGTCACTAAATGAACATTTGTTAAGTTGAGGACGACCTGCGCAAAGGAAGAAAAGTAGTGGACCAAGGGGACAATGACAGAGAAAGATGACATTTTAAAACATTTTTTCTCACTTGTGATGACTTTGGAGATGACCCTAATTTAAAACAAATACAGTACTTTTCAGAGTATAAGACGCACCTCCCCCAAAAAGAGGGTGAATATGTGGGTGTGTCTTATACACTGAATGTAACCCCACCCACCCACCAGCCCCAACCTTTTGGCCTCTGCCTCCCAGCAATTTACATCTCTGCAGCAAACGGGGGCTTGAGGAGGCTTCAATAAGCTATAGCAATCCCTGCAGCCTGTAACAGCTGATGATGGGGAGAAATTGAAAGTGAAACTTGTTGTTTACTCCAGGTGGGAAATTATTGGGAGGCAGATTTTTTTTTCTTATGCTAATCAGGCTGTTTGCTGCAAGGAGATAAGTCAACAACTATAAATGCCTATAGAATGTTCGAATTATTAGACTTACTTTTTAAAGACTGCTTTATTATTGTTCTAGACAACTTAACAAAATGAAGAAGCTTTTTAAAATACATGCTTGATCTGAAGAGGCCCAGTGCTATTGTATCTTCTTTTAAATAGCAGAGAAGAACTATACTTCCAGAAAGCATATGACTTTTAACAGCCTCTGTACAAGTATAGTCTGAAATATAATACNGGGGGGGGGGAGTTAAAAGAGAAAAATTGCTTTGTTAAACTAGGGCCATGCTTAATTTGATTCACAGCTTTCTTGAAGAAAGCAGTACGAATTTATCTCTTGCTCTGCTAAGAAGGCAGGAGAGATCAATGACTGCAATTTTTGAACTCTTCACACACTGTCAAATTGGACGGCACTTTAGCCAATGCTTAATGTAAGAAAAAAAATATAGCTCTAATTGTGCTACAGTCTGAAAAATAAACAAGACCAATTTCTGGCAATATAGACTTCTCTGATAAAGTTTTACATATCACTTGTGTATCGATGCATCGTGTTGCTAAATTAAAACGAGCAGTTTTCATGTATGTTGCTATGTATCCATACATTGTATAGGGATATGAAGCCTCTATGCTAAAAAAAAAGGGTAAGAGGTTTTGTTTTATTGTATGCGCTGTCTTGTTCTGCAATAGACAATTCTATCGGTTTAAAAAGGAGCACGCCACAACGTTTTTGGCTAGAGCACACTCGTTTTTGAACCTTGCTGCTTTTGCAAGGGGAGAAGAAGGATTGTGATACTTCTCAAAATCATGCCAGAATTCACAACACGATTGTCTTAGTTTCAATCCTGTTTAAAAGTCAGCAGTGACCTTTTGTAATTTAATTCGAATAATCTGGTGTCACCCACCTTTACCTGGAAATAATAGCTATTCCAAGCAGCCGGCATATTTCAGCACTTTGGCGTGTTGCAAAAACCTCTAGGTAGCGAAATTAGCTGCTGAAGCTAATTCAACAGTCAGAAGCGGCATCCCTCTAAACCAGAGGTGTCCAAACTTGGGAACTTTAAGACGTGGGGACTTCAACTCCCAGAATTCCCCAGCCGGCTGGCTGGGGAATTCTGGGAGTTGAAGTCCCCACGTCTTAAAAGTTCCCAGGTTTGGACAGCTCTGCTCTAAACAGAACACGGGTTCATAGGGCTAGAAAAAGGAACTCCAAGATCTTCTAGTCCTACTTCCTGCTCAAGGCAGGATTTCTCCAGAACTGGCTGGAGAAATTCTGGTAGCCTGGATGAACTCTACCTACTTTATAAGCAACGGCATGCCACTTTATTGGAAGCCGCCCTTTTTAGGAGGTTATAGGGAGTGTAACTGGGTGGGTGCAGAGGCCCAGAGATGGAGCTCTCGCCTCACAATCAGGAGGCTAGGGAGAGGCAGAGATTTCTTTCTCTGGGCACACTGAGAATATATCTGCTGAATAAAACTCTGCTCTGGCGACAGGAAGGGCATCTGGCATCTGGCTCAGCTCCAATCAGTTGCCCAGGCTACACCCCACAAGGGATTATGGGGTTGTTAAAAGAGGATGATGATGTTAGGGAGTGTAACTGGTGATGTTGGGCAAGGCTTTCATTTCTGATCCTTTCAGGGGACTAAATGGGGTGGTGGGACTCATAGTACCTCCTGGTTATTCTGTTAAGGCCCTAATGACTCTATCCCATGGTTTTTCCCAGATTAAAAAGATCCGTGAGGAGAAGGGGAAAGAATTTAAGCAATGAAACAAATGCTCCTTTAATCAATGCCAAAAAGGTTTCTGCCCAGCATAAATCTGCTCTATTGAGAGAGACTTTCACCAGGGGTTTCTAAGTCACCGGCTTTATACGACCTGGATGAAAACAGCATTGGGCTTCTGCAGACTTGCGAGTGGGTTCCAGCTGTTAAGGCCAAATTGATCACTGCTCTGAAATACAATCTCCAAAACTTCAAAAACTCCATAGAGCAACCTGCTTAATCCACAGCATTCCTTAAATCTAGAAATCTCTCCCCCTTCCTCCTACTATAATGGTAGAAGACTCTCTCTTGGATCACTAAAGGCATGACACAAATGTTTTTTGAGTCCAGCTCACATCATGTCCAATGCTATTTACTTCTTTTAATGGAGACGTAACCACAATAAGCCGTCAATGCCTAGGTTAACATTTGGAAAAAGCAATTATTTTGCCACAATATTTAGGATGACTGCAGGCACTTTTAGTGACGAGCGGTTTTGAAGGAACGGTGGCAAAAGCGGGTAAAAGTAAAGCAACAAAATGTATTTGTTTGAGTTGAATGAGAGGAAACCACAAGGACGAATGGAGCTGAAATCAGATGAACAGAGAAAGGAGAGACAGATTTCTCCCGACCCCAACAGAGAATTGCCATCAAAAGCAATAAACTTGTTAAACAGACAAGTTTTTAAAAAAAGCACACACAAGCGATCAGCATCAGAGTCCCCTCAAGGTCTCATTGGTCCCCTGAAACACCATCACCCCTCCAAGACTGATGGCCAAGCCAGGTCTGGAGGGACTTCCAGAAAAGAAAAGAAAAAAAAAGGGAAAATAATTTAACTTCTGTGTCTGCACTTTTAATCAAATATCTATTTTAAGGCTAAGAGAAAGGAAAGAGAATATAGACAACCTGAAACTGAAAGGGCAATGCTTTATGTAACGTGATGTTAAAAGATTATGAAGTTTATCATTTCAATAATTGTTGCAGAAAAATTAAAATGACAGGCCTTTTGCAAGCACACATCCACTGGGATACTATTTTTGCTGTCATTATAAAAAAATGTGTAAGCTGGAAATAGTACTTGCAAACTTGATTAACTCATTAACCAGTATGACCATTTTTTTTTTGGTATGTAAGGAACTGAAACTCTTGCTCTAAATGTGTCCTCATGGCAAATATAAATATGTTAATGTTAAGAAGAGTAAAGGCAAAGGTTCCCCTCACACATATGTGCTAGTCGTTCCCGACTCTAGGGGGCGGTGCTAATCTCAGTTTCAAAACCGAAGAGCCAGCGCTATCCGAAGATGTTTCCGTGGGCATGACTAAACGCTGAAGGCGCACGGAACGCTGTTCCCTTCCTATTTTTCTACTTGCATTTTTACATGCATGCTTTCAAACTGCTAGATTGGCAGAAGCTGGGGCAAGTAATGGGAGCTCACTCTGTTATGCGGCACTAGGGATTCAAACCACCAAACTGCCAACATTTCTGATCAACAAGCTCAGCGTCTTAGCCTCTGAGCCACCGTGTCCCTTAAGAATAGTAAGATTCCTCAAAAATGATTGGTATAGGAATACTTTTTGTAACAGCTTTTTAAACAAAACAAAATTAACCCCCCCCCCCAAAAAAAAAAACTTTTAGGGCAAGCAGATCTTATTTCCTGAAGGAACAAGTTAACAATCGCATTAGGAGATATTTGAAATAATTTGGTAGGTAGCTGGAAAGCAACAAGCACACAGAACGATACATTAAATATCCTGCTTGACTGACCACACTGACAATGCCAAACTAAGCAGACTTCTGTTTCTCATGTTTGAGCCATTAAATGGATTTCAGAAATGATTTTTTTTTGGTTGAAGGGATCCATAACGCCAAAGGCACACGGAACACTGTTACCTTTCCACCGAAGGTGGTCCCTATTTTTCTACTTGCATTTTTTACATGCTTTCAAACTGCTAGATTGGCAGAAGCTGGGACAAGTAACGGGAGCTCACTTCATTACACAGCACTGGGGATTTGAACTGCTGAACTTCTGCCGATCTCTCTGATCAACAAAGTCAGCGTCTTAGCCACTGAACCACCACATCCCAACAGGAAAACAACAGTACAAAACCTGCATCAGTGTACGTTCAAAACTACCACAACGATTAACAGAGGAATGGATAAACATTACTGTATGAATTGAAATCCAATGAAGTATTTAGGTACCAAATTATATTGTATGGGGCAACAGAAAAAGGGCACATCTGTCTTCATTCTCAAAGCAGGTGAAGCATTGTTGAGAACTCAGATGCTCAACTTCATTTTGTTCAACTAATAAGGGCAACAGTAAAACTTGGCATTGTTTCACCTGATTCGTTAATAAGTAGCCATGTCTTGATAAACTTGGAATAGATGTATATCTAAATACAATTAAAACACCAGCACTATCAATTTCTCAGCCTTATGAAATAGAGTGAACGGTGAGGGGTTCGTTATGGATTACAAATGTGCAAATTCATTTTCTTCCAGGCCATGCTGAGCCCACTTCTGGACTGGACCATTCCAGAGAAGATTCGGCAAGTTCCAGAAATAACTCTGCCTTGAGAAGTTCCACGGATGATCTGGCCACAAAACAGCCTGTTTTATCCAGAGCATCATATTCTAATCTGTCCTACTTCCATGTTTTCATAAACACTTACGTTTCTGATTCTGCCCTGAAAAATCAGTAACAGATATCACTGTACCGTATTTTCACCCATATAACCCGCCCACACAAATAACCCGCCCACGCGAATAACCAGCAGGTTTTCAGGATCGTGTAAAATATTTTCCGTATACCCCGCCCACGCATATAACCCGCGANATGCTTGATCTGAAGAGGCCCAGTGCTATTGTATCTTCTTTTAAATAGCAGAGAAGAACTATACTTCCAGAAAGCATATGACTTTTAACAGCCTCTGTACAAGTATAGTCTGAAATATAATACTACAAACATTGTATATTGTCTGTACTGTTTTTTGCAAGGAGGCAAATTGCTGGGAGGCAGAAGCAGATATTTTTCCCTTGTTTTCCTTCTCAAAATCTAGGTGTGTCTTATACTTCGGAGCATCTTATACTCCGAAAAATACGGTATTAGCTTTATTTTGATGATTACATGAAATTCAGCCTTAAAAAGCTTTCAGTACTTTAAAGGACACAGGCCATCTGCACATCCAATTACCAAAAGCTGCCTTTTTGAGAGGCCGCAAAAGGGAGACAAAAGCACAAGAACCAAACTAAAGTAAACCTTTTCGTCTTCTGTGCCATTTCCAGCTCAGCCTCTAAAGCCTTGTTTTCTGCCACCAGGTCATTTTTCTCGAGAAAGAGGCTCTTTGTTTCCGCTTGGACAGAGTTCAATTTTTTCACCAGTTCCTGGGTCTCCATCTCCCTCTTTTCCTGTTCCATCTGCAATTGGCTATAGAAATAATAATGAAAATTGGGCGGTAAACCAAAGGCATCCGTCTTCATAACTTGTAGAAATGAACAAATCAATTACGGTTGATTCAGTAGTGGGGAAAAAATTACATATTTCTGATGACAAGGCCATCGCTGCAAATGTTAAAAGCTTGCAGCTACAACAACCAAGGCACTTCATTCATTCACTCATTAAATTAAAACATTTGGCATACAGTAAAAACCCACTTCACGAAATCGAAAGCTGAAAACGTAACACATAGACATGGAAATGGGAAAGTATTGTAAAAAAATACATAAAAGCCACTGAGAGGAATGGGACTTTAATCATCAGACACTTACTTTCTAAGTTTGTTTTCCAAGGCAAGGTGCTCCTCTGCCGTTATGTAATCGCTAACTCTGGCCTTTAATTCTTTGTTTGCGGAGCGTAATTCTTTCAGCTTTTTCTGACATTCCTGCATCTCCACTTCTTGGTTTTGTTTTTCGGTTTCCAGAGTAACGAGCTGCTTGGTCAGTTTGGAAACTAGATCAAATTATGAATCGCCCAAAAAAAAGTTGGGGAAAAAATTATTCTCAGAAAAAAATCAGATCACAATTTTTGTTCATATGGATGCTTTTCGATTCCAATCTAGTAATTCTTACACGTTAATCTGAAGCATTAATTGCTTGGAATACCTTGCCTTTAGAAATTGTGGGTGCTTCATCACTGGAGGTTTGTAAGAATAGACTGGACAGTCACTTGTCTGAGATTGTATAGGTTCTCCTGCTTGAGCGTGGGGTTGGACTAGAAGACCTCCAAGGTCCCTTCCAGCTCTATTTATTCTATTCCTATTTCTATTCCATTCTATTCCTGTTCTTCTATTCTGAATCCTATCCTATTCTATTCTACTCTATATTCTATTCTATCCTATCCTGTCCTGTCAGCTACAAAATCTTCCTTTCCGCAAGTCTGTAATGTCAGTGCAACTTGTTAAGCTGCTGTCAAATATAAATCTCATTAACTCTGCAAATACTCAGGACTAGCAACTACAGCGAAATAATAACTGTCTCTACGCCTAAACTTTTATTTTGTCCCTTTGATATTGCTAATGAGACTGACTTGCAAATGAATACAAACATATGCACCACACAATGTTATTTATTTTAGATTTTTCACATTCTGGTTGATAGCCATGTTTCATTTCACCACGATGAACCCTGAATGTGCACCATATTAAGATTAAATCATCAACAACTGCAACGTTTTATTAATTTTTACAAAGCAAAATAAATCTGAAAATGTTTCATGGCTGAATTGAGAGTAGCCACTGATTATCAACACCGTTAATTCTAAACAGGTTCACAAAACTTTTACCTTTGGAGGTAAAATTGATCTCTCTCTCTATTCACATTTGTTGCATGCAGTGATAAATTTATTTCACCTTCTTTAACATGTTGATTGATGGTATCGTTTATTTTGGTTCCTTGTATTTTAAGCTGTTCCATTAATACCCTATTTTCCTCCAGGACAAGCTTGGCTTGACTTTGCAAATGCTGCCTGTAAAGGAACATTGATTTGAAATTTGAAATAGCACTGAAATTTGAAATTTCTGCAGAGTTCAAAATAAGAAATGGAAATAATAAAATAAACCAAAATGCATTTAGAATATATGTGTTCTATGGGAGAAATCTCTATATAAATTAGTGATGGCTAACCTTTTCCTGACCGAATGGCCAAAGTGTGCAAATGCATTCACGTGTGCCCGAACCCCAAAATGCAATGCGTACACAGCTCACATGCATGCACCCCAGCCCCGTGCATGCGCACATGCCTCCCGCAGTCCCCTCATCTTGCATCCCCTCGTGCATGTGCATTTGCCCCCCTGCATGCAAGCACGCCACCCCGCGCATGCGCAGCAAAGACCCAACAACCAGCTGGATGGCAGGAGGTGCACATGCATGCACAGCAGAGCTGAACTGTGGCTACGGCTCGTGTGCCCACAGAGGACACTGCATGCCACCTGTGGCACGTGTGCTATAGGTTCACCATCACAGATATAGGTGCTAAATTCTGAACAATTACATTTTTCTAGGCAAAGTCTGGTATTTCTCTTAGAAAAGTATTCTTGGCATGTGTTGTTTCTGTTCTGCTATCAGATATATTGGGGTTTTCACTAAAAAAAATATAGCCACTTAATAATAACCAAATAGCAATAGTTATTTTAAGCTTAATGCAATATAATGTATACTGATCATACCATTTCTCCTTATTTAGACATTGTTGAATTTTACAGCATTTAATATAACTAAAAGTCATTGTGTCATTTTTATAAACAAATTACAACAAAGAAACTATCTAACAGGTTCAAATAATAGTACCCTTACCATTCTTTGGTACTAATAAAAGTACCAGTATTTTTAGTTAATTTTTGGTGTAACTGCTCATTTTCCTTCACAACTGCTTCCACTTGTGCTTTAAACATCTTCATGCTTTCCTGAAGGAAAAGCAAAACAAAACATATATTCACCATGGTAAATTCAACGGATACGAATCTGGCTCTCTGATTAGGAAGATCATCCATACGGGATTCATTGAGTTGAGTTATATTTTTTACAGAAAAATATACTGTCTTTTTGAATATCCTAACAGATAATCACACTTGTCTACTACAACCAGAGTTTATATTATAAATATAAATATAAAGTGGACTTTAGCAGAAAGGAAACGGTCGATTTTGTAAAAAGTGATAAGGGTCTAATTGAGGATAGGAAATAAGGTCCATTTATATAAAATTTAAGACTAGGTGAGAGATGTGGTGGCCTAGAGGTGGAGCTTTTGTTTCACAATCAGGAGGCTGTGAGGTAGTAGATAGCGGCAGATATTTCTTTCTCTGGGTGGAAAGAGAAAATATCTGCTGTCAGATACGCATAGGCATCAGGAAGGGAATCCAGCCAGTAAATGCTCAACTCCATTCAGTCACCCAGTTCAAGAGATTATAGGCTCGTGTGTGTGTGTGTGTGTGTGT